GACGAAATTCCATAGAACGGCTAGCCCATCGATGGAGAGTGGCCAACGTGCGACCGACCGAACGGGTGTAAGTGCCGTCAACCCACTTCCGCCGAGGCCCGACTTCCGTACTGCGCGCACCGTGCCAGACGAGCCTCTCGCACTCTACGGGCTGAAGACCACGCGCCGCCATGGCCTCCAACCAAACTCTCCCCCTGGAGACTACACCACACCCACCATCGCCAGCTCTGACGCGACCCGAACTGGCGGACGCGAACGCTGCCTTGCCGCTCGGCCTGGCTGCGGCCGTTGTCGTGCTCGGGATCGTCGCGTACTTCCTACACCATCGGCGATCCAAGAAGCAACACGACCGCCAAACCATGTTGCTCGAACAACAGGCGGCACCTCAGCACCTAGAACGCGCTTCACCTTCTTCCGCCCTTTATCATCCGCCCCCCGGCCGTGGGACGGCCGCAGCCATGTACTCCAAGTTAGTGGACATGGCAGCAAAGTCCCCCAAGGGCACGAAAGGTCTCGCCAACGCGTCGACGAATGCGGCCAAGACAAAAGCGTCGTCGCCGGCACGTCAACTTTCTGGCGACGGATGGAAGTCGCACCCGGCATTGACGGGCCTGTGGCTGCCGTCGGGCACCGAGCACATGACGACGACGCCGGTGCGCGGCTGCAGCAACGCGATGACGGGCACGTTGGGCGACGGAACCAAAATCATGCTCAAGAGCGTGCCGCTCGAGTCGTCGTTGGTGCCGGCATTCGTTGAAGCGATCGGAGAGGCCCGCCACTTGACTGCGCACGACTCGATCAACGCCATTTTTGGCGTCGTCCTTTATCGTGGGACGTTGAGCGCAGCGGCCAAGTACATGGCCAAGGGCAGTTTGGGGCCGCTTCTGGTCGACAAAGCCAAACCGTTGCCGCCGTTCGTGCGCAAGTCGATCGCGTTGCAGGTGGCGTCTGGCTTGGCGCACATCCACCGGTCGTCGCGCCCGTTTGGCGCGTTGCATAGCGGAAACGTACTCGTGGAATCGTTGTCGCGATCGGAGGTTGTCGTGAAATTGAATGGGTTTGCGCTGCTGCACTGGCAAGTGCCGTCCACGGATACCAACAACACGGCGGCGGCGTCCGTTGAGACGTTTGGAAACTTTGCCACGTCGTACGTGGCGCCAGAACTGCTCGGCGATCCCAAGCGGCATACGCTGTCGACCGATGTTTACGCCCTTGGCATCCTCCTCGGTGAAATCTTCACAAAGACGCATCCCCATGCCGCCCTCTTCCACGCAAAGGGCTTTGTCGGGGGCGATCTGCACTTACTTGAGCTCGCGCGGTCGACTCGGCCCCTGCCGTTCCCGTACGATGCCGCCGTGCTGGCCCACGAGACTTCGTCGCCAGCGTTTGTCGACGTCATCGAGCGATGCGTACACCCTGATCCGACCCGACGACCGACCGTCGACGAAATCGTGGCGCAGATCCAAGCCTTGGACATCCAAGATGGCGGCCAAGCGGCGGCGCTCAACTAGGCTGTCTTGTCTGTGTAAACTGGATCGCCACCCACCCGACTAGAATGGTCCAATGCCACCGTGCAACTCACAAACAGGAGCTGCGACGCCTGCGACCGCGCAGTCGTCGTTGAAGAAAACATATCGCCGACAGGGATCGCATCCACCGACGTTTGACGCAGTGATGATGTCGCGAGTGTGTATCGTCACGCGCGGTGGATGGCGGTGTTGGAATGCTCTGGAAGAGTCCATCATGGACAGGAGGCGAGACACGCACTCGACGGTGTGGCTCATTGAGAGCCGTGGCATACCAGCGCTTCAACGTCGCGTTGGACCGTCCGAACGAACGTGGCTCGGACCAAACTGGCCCGTCATCCGACGTCGAGGTCATGGTGGACGAGAGTTCCATTTCTTAGCGCTGCTACTTCCACACCCATTGATCGGATGTCATGATGCGCGGCCGCGGTGGTTCACGCGTGCGTGTGTTGGCGCATTGCGTGGCAAAGATACGCTGGATGCGGGAGAACGCACACACTGGACACGGCGCGTCGATCGGTGTCGAGGGACCTTTGCGGTACTCAGCGACGAGGATCGCGGTCGTGCGCGGGACCGAGGGAAACTCGATCGCCATCTTCTTTTCAAACAACGGAACGACGTCGTCGTAAAACACGCGCTTGGGAAAGCCATGGCCGCACGAAAACACCTTGGCATGGGTCTCGATCGGGTCCGTTTTTCCGAGGGCAGCCGGCGTCTGCCGCTGAATCACGACGTGCCGGAGGTCGGCGTGGTGTCGCTGGATGTTGTCGAGCACCGTGTCGACGACAGACGTGTCGGCGGCGATGCCGCCGGGAAGGCGCGCCGTTTCGTCCACGCTTTCCGGCGACCCCCGCTCGTGTTGTTGGCGCACGTGCTGCTGGCACACTTGAAAGTAAAATCGTCCTGAAAACGGAAGACACGTTTGGCACTGCTCGATCCATCCGCGGTTGCGTTGGTCAAATGACGCGGCTTTCGAGAAGAGGATGGTCGCGACCGGCGTCAAGTCTACCACCACGTATGGGAATTTCCAGCCATGGACGACGGGTTGTGCGCACCGCGTTGCTCGAGCACGTGCACTTCGAGCGCTTCGATGGCGTACTTCATGTAGTGCCAGTGGATGAAGAGGCGCGCCAGCACCGCGACGCGCATCGGTGTCGGCATCACGTTCGAAAAGACCAACGTGTCCATGAGATGCACCAGTTCTTCGTGCGTGATCACGTGGCGGGGGGCGTCCTTGCCTTGTTTTCTACACGGACATTGCCGTTCAATCCCAGCCACCCAAATTCGATGTCCAACTGCACACGGCGCGACATTACAAAAAAACGTACGGCTGCTGCAGGTCGTGCAAGTGCAGTTTGCACTCGATCGCGTCCACCCATTCCCCTTGGGCTTCGTAGCACGCGGCGGCGGCGGCCCAGTTGGCGTAATCCACGCAGCGGAGGATGAGAACGGGTGGTCGATACTGATTGCTCCATGCCTTGATCAACGACAACAGATCGTCTTGGGTGAATGTGTGGACGGTGTCCGCCGTCGTCGTCGGGCGATGGGGCTTTGCACTGCTGCAGCGTGTGCAGTTGAGCCGCAAGAGCAGCGTGAGAAAAAGCTCCACTTTCTCTTCCATTGTGATCGGTATGGCTTCTGACGTCGCCACGTCGCTCTGGTGGACGTAGTACGGCAGCGACGACACCGCCGTCGACACGACGGACCGTGGGTCGAGCACCGTCGCCAGAGCGGCGCACTCGTCATCCGTCACGTCCGGCAGGATGCGCAAGACCCAGTCCCGCTGCATCCAGATCGCGCTGGGATGGCGCAGCAGCACCTGAATTTGAACGGACAACGGTAAGGTGCGAAACAAGATGCGTACGTCGGGCGCCGTCAGGTTGGACGCGTGGTGGCGGCTCAGCAGCGTGTTCACCTACCGCCGCGAATTCAATGCACTCGATCGATGCCAAAGTGCACTAGGTCAGATCACGCAGAGGGAAGCTCCTCTCTCGAGCATATCGTGGTCACGAGCGCGTTTGTGCCATCAAACTGGCGTCCACACAGCAACGAAACCAACTCCACACGGCAAAAAATACGAGTCAAATCGTGGCGCCGGCTAGCGCAACATGCAGCTCCAGCCAGGTGCGGCAGTCGGCGACGATTCGCATCATGGCAAGTACTCAATTGCGTGCTGAACATTCACGTCGCACACACTTGCGACAGAAAGATTGTCAGCGTACCTGCGCCTCGGTGAGGGACGCACCAACGTCTTGTAGAATACGAAGCGCAGCATCGATGTCGCGCCGCGCATGGCCGATCGCGAGGGCAGCGTCGACGCATTGAAAAAAAACGCATCGGGAGATGGCAAAGGATGTGTCAAAGTCTTGGTTGGTCGTGAGAAATGAGACGAACCAGGCCCAGTCCTTGGTGTCGTCCCGAAGGGGCGTCGTTTGGTGGTGGAGTTTGAGCGCCGACTCGATGACGGTGTGCGCGAGAAACCGGCGGTCGGCACTGCGCGCTGCCTTGGATGCGAGCGCTTCCTTGGCGTATTCTATCGCGTTGGCCAGACCGCCATGGTGAAGCATGTTGTCCAGCGTCTTGGCCGGCATCACATGCGACGACTTGGCGCACAGACGCATGACCCACTCGCAACTGTTTCGAGACATCTTTTTCGACTTGTGGTCGGCGCAGATCGTGTCTGCTACGTCCTCGCTACATCATGAGACCAGTCGGTTGTGGTTTTGATGGCGTGGCACAAGCAGCGCGCAACAGGAAATCGCCACCACCCTCGATCGGCCAAACTCTCGACGCCCCACGCGACTGCTGGCACAAGCAGCACTGTTTGCAAAACACGTACCATAACGCGGGCATGTCAAAGCCCAAGGCGTACCCGATGAAGACAGCGTCGTCGACATGGATCGTGCGCGCGTACAGCGCATGGAACAACAGCGCGCGCGTCCACTTTGGGCGGCACTCGTACACCTATTCAGAAACACAAAACGTTGTCATGGC